CTTAATGTGTTCCTATTTGCAATTCGCTTTTTATGAACCAGAATGAATTCCTTCACGCATGACTGAATTTTATTGAATATGTCTCCTAAGCAATAGTCTTAATAGTCAAATGCCCTGATAGTGCTCTGCGCTTTGTTCCTAAGTGTAGGAAATTCATTCTGCTTCCGCAGTGTGCCATAGAAGTTAAGTTAGAAATACGTTAGTGACTGCTGTGTGATCCAGTTATATCATTATCAGTGACACCTTCAAGAGAATGCCTTTTTTCAGTCGATTAGACGAGATTGTTGCTCACTGCGACAAAAGCCAGAAAGTAACGGTAACTTTGTACGTGTTTCGTCTAAGTTTTTGCAACTTTTTAAAGTATTTTTACTTAAGCTTAAGTGGTGATCCTTGAGCAAAAACAGCAGACTTTTGCATACAAGTGAATTGCTGCCCTCTGGGGTTCTTAGTTATGTGAACCTTTATGCTATTTGTTTTCACATTTTAGAAAAGTTTTTTGACGAGAGCAAAGGTGTAGTTTACACCTAGAAAGTTTTTTACTTGTCTATTAGCCTAAACAACCGATTGGAAACCTACATTGTGCAAAACCATGGCAACGGAGTTGTCAAAATCAATAAAGGGGTTATTGCATATGCTAATAGGTTCTGTAATTGTGCATGTAGTAATTAGCTAAATTCTCGGTTAAGTGAATCATCTCTACTACCTATTGATCAGAGTAAAGTTGTCGCTTACTTAATATGCTCAACCAAAATATACTCACGTACTTTTTTTTAAATTTCAGGTCAGACATGATCTTTCAGTTGTGCGGCAAATACTGACGGAGAAGTTGGAAAAGGAGGAGAACTCAGACGTTACAGAGTCTCAGACTGACCGCACTGAATAGAATTGTTTTGGACTAAATCAACCTTAAAATATGAAGATATTCCTCTCCTCTTACAATAGAGATAACAAGAATGATTCACAGGGTGCTTTTTCACGATTTTATTTGGTAGATATAAATAGCTAAAGGACATGGACGTAAAGAGTGCACGTAAAGGTCTTACTCCTTCACGTAGATAAATTCGTGTTCTTCGATGGTTTTAATATCCTTTTCGAGCTCACTCAACGTCTCTTCCAGCTGTACCTTCTTTTGTCTCTTATGCAAAGTGTCAATGATAACGGAGAGACGCTGAAATTCACTATAGACTTGTGAATGTTTTTCCTTTAATGATTTCAAGAGGTTTTCACGCTCCTTTGGAGAGAGACATGGGATCTGTTGGTGCAGGGCAACTTCTTTACTGTAGTTTGCGTAGAGTTTGTCATTTTTAAGCTTTTGTTCCTTTCTTTTCTTTAAGTAGGTTGGGAATTCCCCAAAACCCTTAGAATACAGCGGGTTGGTTTACCTGTTTACCTTTTTGTAGAGGTAGTCTTTTGTAAGGCCTGATCCATTTAGGTTATAACTATGGCCATTTTTGGAGTCAACAATTATTGGTGCGTGCTGTTTGGGTTCAGATAAAATTGCCAGAAGTCTATTTCGATTTATAACGTTTAGCTCGTTGGGCCTTTCGATCTTTGGCTTGTGGTGAAAGTCGGGTAATGGTGGCTTCTTCCCTGGGCAAATGTTTTCTTGATTGCTGGGGTCGGCGTTTCTGTGCAGATTAAGGCATGTGTGGGACCGTAAAAAGAGACTGGGCTTAGGTTCTTGTACTTTGGCTGGGCCTATGGTTTTGAATCTACCGACTTTGTGTTCTGCCATTTCCTTTTTAGCCATAGGTCGGTAGATCGACTGGTATCTATTATAGATAATGTACCTTCCGCAATGCATTTTATCGTACCTTTTTGGTTTTGTTTCAAGTGTAGGTTTAACGGGTAACAGATTGTATATAGACTCCATCTCTTCAAAAGGCAAATCAATCCCGGCGGATGCTTTCTGTGGTGAGAGAGAAGCATTAAAGGGCCTTAACATTGCTAGCTAATCACGATATAAGTTGTCTTTTGTGCGAAAATTGTGTTTTGAATAGTTATTTTTAAATAAGAATTAGCTAAGGGTCAGTTTATCATCCAACTCATGAGTACGTCTAAAAATCGTTTACTGTTGAGATCCGAGGTAAAACACTTCCATGAGTTGGCAGAGAAGCTTGCAAACAAAAACAAGGTCCTAACCCTGTCCGAAATAAGTGGTGGAATTTAAGATCTAACCTTCTAAGTGGTGGTAGTAGCGACTGTAGAGTTGTGTTTTATATAATCGCGATTATGTAGCTATAGAGAACGTAAGCAGTAGGTGTACATTCAAACGCCGATGACCTTTTAGTGAGTGAACTAGAAAAAAATCTCTTGAATGAGACAAATTGAGGGGTTAAAGAGCAGCTACCTTAAATTGCTATGCTTGGGTAAGGTCCATGAGATAAAATCTTCGTCGGAGTGGAGCATAAATCAATCCAAAACTTCATATTTTTAACTCATTGCGCACCAGCAGCTGTTTAACTAATTAAATAATTGCATCCATCAACTCAAACAATTGATTTGCACTGTGCATACATACGTCAGACCATTTTACAACCAATGTAGTTTTTAACACCACATATGGTATATCTGACACAAATTAACTTGGAGAATACAGTCAAAGCATGTACTCAATATGGTTTTTTTGATATAGCATAATCGTAAGCTGCCTTTAAAATACTGTAAACAACACGCTGATTTAGCCGAAAAAGCTAGGCATTAAATGACTTACACAGCTAGGTCCTAAACACGCCAAAACCAAGAGTCCTTTCCTGTTACAGAAATTATTAGGTTTCAAGACCTTAAAAAGTAGATTTGTTTCATTCTTCATCGTCTTGCAAAAAGGGCTGTTGACTGAAAGTCACTGGTTTACAATTTTCGCCGGTGACGTCCGACTTGTCATTATTATTGCCGAAAACGACAGTAGCTTCCGCAGAAAGGTAAGCTTCCCCATTATTCGCTGTTTCCATATAGCAGAGACAGGGAAGTTACGAGCGAAAGCACACTCTCCACCCCCACCCTAAATGTTCCATGTCTAGTGAAGCCGACCCCGTCTCCGATGAAAACCATTCCAAACTCGAAAATCACCTCGCCCGAGCCCCAAAAGGCTTTTAGTACAGATCTGCACCCCAGTAACTAATAAGCTCAGAGCAGACACCTCCACCCTCCCAGTAAAGTTTGTACTAACACCCTCCATACTAAAACGACCTATCCGTACTTTTATGATCTCAACTGTTCCCCTTTAAAAAAATAAAAAGCAAATAATGAATATATCGTTGTTGTAATTACAGCCACTCTCAAGTAGGTCAATCCCCACCGGTAGCCAATCACACACTGTCCGCATCGACGGGGGGCGGTAGAAGACAAAGGTTGTAGGGCACCTCGCTGCGCCAGAAGCTCTCCTCTTTCCAGCCCACCCAGCCCTTGCCGAGGATAGTCGCCACGTGGGCCGGCTCACCGGTGTAGTGCGGATCGAGAATCAGAAAACGAGTTCGATTAGTCCCAGCTGCAAGGGAAACAGGAAAGTCGGTGGCAACCTGCACACCGACAATGGTGTGCGCCAAGTCGCCACCCCCCACCATCACTGGTCCGCCACCGGATGCAAAGTGCTCCACCAGCACCGATGCGGCGACGGCTGCAAAGTCGCGGCCCCGTGGCACAGGCAACAGGCGGCACTGAACGCCATAGAGCTCTTGTAGA